GAAAAGTCTGCTTTGATTCTGGTGGGCTTTCCTTTGCATGTGATTTGTTTCTTTTCTCTTACTGCTTGTAGTAATTTGTTCTGGTGGGTTTCTGGGATCTTGATTATTATATGTGTAGGTGTAGATTTTTTTTGATCGTGGTTAGTTGGTGTCCTATATGCCTCGCTTATCTGTATGTCTAATTCTTCCCCTCTGTTTGGGAAGTTTTCTGTCATTAATGCTTTGAACAGCTTTCTTAAGTCATTTGCATTTTCTCCTGGTACTTCATGGATACCTGTCAGTCTTATGTTATTCTTCTTTGCATCATCTAGGAGTTGTTGGATCGATTTCTCATCCTGTACTGTTTTTAAGAGACCTCTCTTTTCACGGTCATTGTCTGCAATCCTATCTTCTGTATCTGAGATTCTATCTTTGCAATCTTTTATTCTGTTGCATACACTTTCAATGGAGTTTTTAATCTCCTGGATATCCATTTGAATCTGTTTAATGGATTCCATTTCTTTCCTATGTTGGGCGTTCATTGTTTCCATTTCTTTCTTATGCTGGGCCTTCATGGCTTCTATTATGTTCCTGAGTTCATCTACTTCTTTGTCAGTTTCTGTTCTGGAGTCTCATGTCTTTCATTTCGCTCACCATCTCTATGGCTATCTGGGAAATAATTTCTGTTTTGAATTTTTCTATAGCTTGATTGATCAGTGTTTTTACTTCCTGTGCTCTGAGTTCTGAGTGTCTTGGAGGTTCACTATCTGATTTTTCATCCTCTTTTGCCCTACTGTTTACCATTGGTGGACTGGAAGTCTGTTTTTGTGGCTTGATTAAGTGTTTTCTCGTCTTTATTTTTGCTGTTGGGTTGCCCTTGATTCAATCTCTGGGTCATTAAATCTTCCTGGTATTGTTGCGTCACAGTCTTTGATTCTCTAATGACTCATGGACATTCTCATTTTCATAATAGAGGAAACAACTGGTTAAATCAATCCCAATCCTTTATCCCAATCAATACAATCGGGAACACAATGGGATCAATCACCACCCTTTATAGCCAGCCATGCCTCTGCAGAGTGTGTCCAAGGACTGCCACAATCAGCACCCTGCTGGTGCTGGATCAGGAGCAATGGCCTCCTCAGGAAAAGGCATGGCTCCGCAGACCAGTAGATTGGGCCCCAGGTGGCAGAGGGGGATCTCAAGTCCATTGAGCTGCTTTCCTAAAACTCACCCTTTTGGAGGTGGGTCAGGAGAAATGGTGCCCTCAGGAAAAGGCACGGTTCTACTGATCACAGATCTGGCCTGGCCGGTAGAGGGGGATCTTAAGTCTAAACCAGCTGCTTTCCGAAACTCACCCTCTTGGCACTGGGTCAGGAGAAATCGGTTGTTATTTAGAAATCTGCCACACAGTCAGAAAGGGAGGCATACACAACACTGAGCCAAATCATGGTCTATGTGGATGCAACACAGGTCAGGTCATTGGACTCTTGCACAGGTGCCAATAAGAACAAAGAGTTCATCCCCAGGGGGAGGAAACATTGTGGAGTATTTGGAGATACTGGTGATAAACCATAGTATAACTTTCACTGGCATTTTAAAATGTAATATATTAAACATATTTCTTTTAGTATATTGGTCTTCATAATTATGAGGTACAGCTTTTGTTTTAACCTCAGCAGACAGACACCCTTCTGGGTGGCAGTGAGTAGGAGGTTGGGAAGAGGGTAGATGCCATTAAGGTGCTAACTGAGCTAGCCCTGTTCTTTTGCCCTACTTCTCTCTCTATCCCCACTGTCACCTTGATTATGATGTGTTATATAAAGTGGTGTGACCACTTTCAGGATTGCTTAGCAAAGAGATTTAATTCAAAAGACAGATGTGCTAGTTCCTTAATTTACAATAGGGCATGTCCTGATAATCCACCATATGTTGAAAATGCACTAAATTGAAAATGTCTTTGATACACCTAATTTATTGAACATAGCTTAATCTAGTTCACTTTAAACTTGCTGAGAATATTTACATTAGCTTAGATGTGGTCAAAATTCAGTTAAACAATGGCTATTTTATAACAGTATTAATTATTTATGATTTATTGAATTCTGCACTAAAATGGAAAAACGGCATTTTTCTGGCTAGACAAAGTATTACGTGCTTGTAATCCCAGCACTTGGGAGGCTGTGACAGGAGGATCACCAAGAGTTCAAGGCCAACCTGGGCTACATAGTCAGTTGAAGGCCAGTTTGAGCTACATAGCGAGACCTTGTCTCCAAAAAAATTTTTTTTCTGAAGAGCAGCATATATATATACCTTTGCATTATTGTAAGTCAGCCCATTGTAAATTGAGACTTTTCTGAGTTTGAAGGAGACTCCTGGGGGTAGGCTTCTTCCAGTTGATACATTATACAGGCCACTTTGCTTCTCTCCCTGAGTATTTAGAGCAGGTATGTCGGGCTGTCTTTCACTGCCAGAGAAGCCATTGACCAGTCTTGGTTGATGATTTTAACAGGTCTCTAAATGTGCTCTCTGCTCCTTGTAGTTTCTGAAATGATGTATGCAGAAACGGGAAGAGCCTTTAGAAAATAGCAACAGATTTAGTTTTTTAAGAACAGATGTAATAAATACAACTAGACTGAATATTCTATAGTTATACAATGAATTGTATTTCATAAACTTTGATTTTCTGTTTTAAGAAAATAATGAGTAGATAAGGCATAGGTAACATTTACGAGGAGCACTGACTGAAATTTGTCAGAAAAAAGGAGTTAAACTGTAGGTTAAAAAATATGACCATTGTTGTGCTGTTCTATTTGAGTCTTCCTCATCATTGAAACCAACAAATGACTGAAAGTGGAAAGGAGGAAGGGATGGAGGGAGGGGGAAGGAAGGAATTGGAGAAAAGGGAGGAAGTAGGGAAAGAGGAGAGGGGCCCTATTTTAGTGGTATTTTAGGAATGGAAAATGCTGCTATGATAATCAGTCGTGGAGTTTTCTATTGGACCATAGTTACAGTGAAACCTTCATTAATTACCTTCCAGTTTTTATAAGGGTCCTAGCCAAGGTGACTTTATTCTAGAGAATTGGCATTATTAAGACATTTTATTGCTTAGTGATTTTCATCTTCATTTTACAAGAATAATTAAATCTTTTCTTCATGGAGTAATTTAATATGATGTAAATGAAACATCTGGATGCCCAAAGGTGTTTCTTTTTTTTTTTTTAATCTGTTATAGTGCTCAGTGTCCCAGGAGCTTAATTTGGAAAAGTTAATTAAGAACTGTAGTTTCTCTGTGTTAATGACACTTACGATATGATGACTTCAGGAGGACTCCATGCTGTAAGCTGAGCAGCGCTGCTATCTGCCTGTACCCATCGTTGCTGAGTCAGCCTTTTAGATTAGCAGCTCTTGTGTGTGCTCACAATTGTGGTGGTGAATTTAGAGCAGCTGGGTCAGGCTGGGTTCCAGATTTCTGTTAGCACCAGGGTTACAGCCATTCTGAATCTGTATTCTCCCATACTCCCTTCTTATACTGTAGAAACCTAGAGATTGCTGGCCACTTCTGTAATCCTTTGTTATCAGAAACAATCCCTTCTCAAATTATAGCAATCAGCCCAGAGGTGTCAAATGTCTTTCATTTGTTACTAGATTCAGAGTTCTCATTTCCCCATATTCTTAGAAGCGAGCTTCGATTCCAGAGCATAAAGGAGATTGAGATCTGGGTTTTTACTGCTTAATTTTTTTTTTTTTTTGGTATTATCTTTAATGTAGTGTAGATGAAAAAAATTTTTTAATTACATCTTTTATTTCTCATTATATGTATTCTAAATTCTGTATTATTTCTGTCATATAAATCCCTCTAACATTTATAACTTCCATAGATATAGATAATGCATCCTTTATCTCATTTATTCTTGTTTCTATGCATACAAATGAGCACAGATTTCCACTTGTTAAAAGTGATACAACACTTGGTCAGATCGATGTGTTTTTAGTCCTATCTATATCTTCTGATTTCTTTGGGAGTTTTTTTTTTCCTTTTCTTTCTTTCTTTTGGAGTTTTTTCAGTGCTGGAACTCAGGCCTTATATATACGAGGGAAGTACTCTACTATTAAGCTATATGCCTAACCCTTCTTTTGATTTCTTAAAGTTGTGATCAGTGAAAATATTTTGATAATGATGTTTTCTACAAGTTTTTATTGAGAAATACATAATAAATATATTGTCAAAAGGCTGTTTAGTTGCCAATGTTATCAGTTCACATGTATTAAAGTACAAGTTGCAGAAAGCCCTCATTCAAGATGACTTATGTCTGAGCATATGTATTGGTTTGTCTATACTAGAAAACTACCAGTAGGCCAATATTCAGGGTTTATTTGACTTAGCAGCTCATCAGTAACCATTAAGAATTTGGTTTCTGCTGGGCGTGTATAATCCCAGCACTCGGGAGGTGGAGGCAGGAGGATTGCTGTGAGTTCGAGACCAGCCTGGGCTACATAGTGAGTTCCAGGTCAGTCTCAACTACACAGTGAGACCCTGTCTCAAAAAATAAAACAAACAAACAAACAAACAAACAAAACAAAAAAACAAAAAAAAGGAATTTGGTTTCTTTCTTTCTATCCTGTCATCTGCAGTCTCACCTTCCTCCTATGAGGGCAAGGTGGTGGACAACCATTTCCATATCCACTGCTTTCTCAGTCATGTCCAGTGATGTTTACAACCTTCCCTGCATTCAGTGAACTTAATCTAGGTGTATTCTGAGCCTTGATATAGCAACTGTGGCTGGGGTTAGGATTGTACTGATCAGCTCATGCGAGGAGTCAGCTTCTCATCCACAAATAGGGTGGTAGGAGGAGGTACAGAAACTCCAATAATAACTGGGTAACTATCTAGAGAAGGAAATGGATGAAGGATGACAGCCATACCATCTACTGTGCAGTGTCTTTTGAAGTAATCTGGCTTTTGTTAGAAAGGTGGTTGCTTTTTTTTTTTCCTTCATTTTTTTTGTTTCTGTCTTTAGTGGCTGTTCCAACAACCAAACGGACAGGCATCCCAACTCCCCGGGAACTCTCAGTAACTGTCTCAAGAGAGAGATCTGTGCCACGAGGTCCCTCCAACCCAAGGAAATCAGGGTCCAGTCCAACTTCATCCTGCACTCACACCCCTACTAAGCACCTGAGGACCACTTCTGCAAAACTAAAGCAAGAGAATGAAGCGGGAGAGAAGGCTGTGCTTGAATCCCGAGTTCGGGAACTTCTAGCAGAAGCCAAAGCCAAAGATAGTGAAATCAACAGGCTTCGAAGTGAACTAAAGAAATGCAAGGAAAGAAGGGCCCTGAGCACTGAGGGGACTGATGCCGCAGACCCAAGTTCAGATGGAACATCATTTCCACCAGGAAACACAGAACCTTTGATAAGAACCCTTGAAGAGAAGAACAAGACCTTTCAGAATGAGCTTGCTGACCTAGAAGATAACCGGATCTTAAAGGAAAAACTGACTTACCTTGAGCAGTCACCAAATTCAGAAGGGGCAGCAAGTCACACTGGTGACAGCAGCTGCCCAACATCTATAACCCAAGAGTCAAGCTTTGGAAGCCCAACTGGAAATGAACTGTCAAGTGAAATTGATGAGTATAAGAAAAACACATATGGAAATACATTACGGACATCTGGTTCTTCAAGCAGTGATGTCACCAAAGCTTCTTTGTCACCAGATGCCTCAGATTTTGAGCACATCACCACTGACACCCCGTCTCGGACCCTGTCCTCCACAAGCAACCCTTTTAAGAACTCCAAGTGTTCAACCACAGGGAGTTCTCCAAACAATGTAAGTGAGCTGTCCCTTGCTTCCCTTACAGAAAAGATACAGAAGATGGAAGAGAATCACCACAGCACTGCAGAGGAGCTACAGGCCACTCTACAAGAGTTATCAGATCAGCAACAAATGGTGCAGGAACTGACAGCTGAGAATGAGAAGCTGGTGGATGAGAAGACTATTTTAGAATCGTCCTTCCACCAACATCGAGAAAGGGCAGAGCAGCTAAGTCAAGAAAATGAGAAACTGATAAACCTTTTACAAGAGCGAGTGAAGAATGATGAGCCCAGTGCCCAAGAAGGGAAAATCCTTGATTTAGAACAGAGATGCACAGATATTCTTGAGAAAAGCCGCTTTGAAAGAGAGAAACTGCTCAACATTCAGCAGCAGTTGACCTGTAGCTTACGGAAGGTTGAAGAAGAAAACCAAGGAGCTTTGAATATGATCAAGCACCTGAAAGAAGAAAATGAAAAACTGAATGGGTTTCTAGAATTAGAGCGGTGTAACAGTAATGTGATGACCAAAACTTTGGAAGAATGTAGAGTTACCTTGGAAGGCTTGAAGATAGAGAATGGGTCCTTGAAGGCTCATCTGGAAGGTGAGAAGCAAAAAGCCACAGAGACCAGTAGTAACTTGGGGCAGACAACAGAGAACTGTGAACTTCAGGAAATGTTGAAAGTAGCTCGAGCTGAGAAAGATCAGCTGGAACTGTCTTGCACTGAGCTCAGACAGGAATTGCTAAAAGCAAATGGTGAAATTAAACACATTTCAAGCCTGCTAGCTAAGGTAAGAAGCAATATTGTCTTACTGAATTCGTTCATCCTTTTTAATGTTTGTCTCCCTGACCTTTAAATTTGCAGAGTAGAGGAAATCATTTGTTCCGTTTCATTAATAAATCCAACATTGTAGCTCAAAGACCTGTTTAGATTTCAGACAGATTGGCGCTGAGGATTTAAAAGAAAAAAACTCAAATTTCTGTCTATGAGCAATTCAAAGTATACTGGTGGTGTAGTAAATTGTATCAGACAGGATGATACAGGGATAAAAAATATAAGACTGGGGGTGTAGTTCAGTGGCAGAGTGATTGCCTCACACGAGTAGAGGCTCTGGTTTTGGGTCTGATCATCACAAGAAATACTAGAAAATATTAGGATGTTTCTGCCCCATCAATAGTACAAAGGAGGGATTCTGAGTATAATATTGGAGTCAGGAGAGAGGAGTCCTACAGAGATGGCAACTGAGCTTAGCCTTGAACAGGATTGAATGAGCATTGCCCAGGTCTTCAGTATTCTTTTAGCTGCTAATAACAGGCAGCTAAAATCATTCTGTTTTCCCACCAAGAAATAACAAACCACTGTTTTGGTATTTTCTTCTAAATATGTGTTTATGTGTGTATGTTCACACCTAGGGCTGGGGGATAGTTCAGGGGTATATTGCTGGCATGGTATGCACAAGGCCCTGGGTTCAATCCCTACAAAAAATTAAGTTTATATCCATTCTGGTATATGTTAGCAATTTTTCAGTGCATTTATTTTCTGAGCATATTCACCCATCAAATACTTACAAATCTTCTTTTAAAAGCCAGGTAGTATTTTATTATAGCATTATTTTATATTCCTTTAGTCCCCTGTTGTTGAACATATGTGTATTACTGGATGTCTGTGTTCTTTCAGGTATTTCAGTATTATAAATTTATTTTTAATATCCGATTATTTCTTTAGGAAAAATTCCTAGACATTGACTTAGTGAGTCAAAGAGCATAAACATTTAAAGACTTTCAACACATTCAGCCAGATTGCCCTACATAAATATGCCAGTTTGTTCCCACCAGCAGTACATGAGAGCGCTTGTTTTCCTGAGCCCTTGCCAACATTTGGTTAAGTTATGTCATTCAATTCTGTTAATCATTTCCTTTATTTTTTTTAATTTTTAGTTTAGAAAGACTTCCAAGCTCAAGATCAAATAAATGATCAGTTCTTTCATTGTTAATAACCTTTTGATTGGTCTGGAATTTCATTATGTGATGCAGGATTGATAGTGATTGAATGATACTCTGCTCACTTCACCGAGAGGTCCTAGGAAGATACAAAGAGTTGGCTTCCTCTTATCTTCTCCCAACTCTGGTTGTATGAGTTGCAGGTCTACTAGAAAGGGAGATTAAAAGCATCTTTCCACCTCATTTCAAGGGTTGTTACTGTCTCGAGAAGCAACTTGTTCCATATGCCCCATAAGAAGACTTTTCTTTATTGCTTCATCTAAAGATTTGTCACTGTGCACACTGATTCTGTAGTCTGATTCTGGTAGCCTTATTGTGTTAGGAGTTGTCATCATTGTGTATGTTCTAAATTCACAGATTTTTTTTTTTTTAAGGTATAGAAGCAATTTCATTAGATGTCACTAGCCAGGAACTCATTTGCATTATAGGTAGATAAAGGAAGCTTTGCATTGTTACCTAATAAAGTAATATTCTGCTATCATGACTCCTTTGCAAAATGTCTAGTCTCCCAGGTGCATCTTCTTGAAGTCCTCTGTCAATTTCTCATCTATCTTTTTGGTATTTTGATTGGCATTACAGTAAATATATGTGTCAATGAGAAATATTTTAGCACCTTTAAAAAAGTATTTTTCTCTGATAAAATTATATATTCATTACATAAGATTTAGAAAATACAGAAAAGTATAAAAAAGAAAATAGAAGTTACCTTTAATCTTACCACCTGGAGAAAAAAACTGCCCACAATTTGCTATATACCCTTTCACATTTTTCTTTCATTTTTATACATGGTTAAGTATGCATGCAAACCTGTATTGACAGGATTACAATATTTAATCTTTCTGTCTAGAAGAACAGAGTATATCTGGCCACATTCCATGAATGCAGTGAACCGTTAGATTAGTTTATAAATTCTACTCTTTATTTCTAATTATTTCTCTTTCATTAATTCTTTTGCCCCTCTTTTTTTACATTTTTTTGGTTTTCTTCCTAATTTCTTGAGTAAAATTCTTTAACTTGCTCCTTTCTTGGTTGATAATGAAAACATTTATAGATGGATTTGTCCTTTCTTTTCTTTTAACTTTAGCAAAATAAAGACAATAATATGTAGAGTTTTCCAATATAAACTTAATCTCATTTGGAGGAAGAGAAAGTATTTGTGTACTTCATATAGTACAAAGCATAACATGCATATTTAAAATAAAGCTGTTATAGACATTATGAAATAAAACAGTTACTCACATATTACCTCTTATTTCTTCCCAAGCAGAATTATCGAATACAGTGGGATGAAAAGACTCTAGCCAGTGATTAGGTAAGAGTCTGAGATAAAAGATGTGACTGATAGTGCCACATATTTCTCTTATAAATATTTAGACTTCAGGTCTACGTTTGCACTGTCTCATGTGCACAGAGACAATGAAAAGCAATGACTTTGTAAACTTCTAATGATCTTGCCCTTTTATATTAACCAGACCTCCTAATGGACAATCTCAGTCAGTTTCTTGTTGCTTTAACAAACACCTGAGGTTGGACCTTCACACTGAGTTCTACTACCAGTCATTTTTAATTTTTTAAGTTTTGCTATAAAGTCTCACTGCATTACCCAGGTTAGACTCAAACATGTAATCCTGCCTCATCCTTTGGAGTGCTAGAATTACAAGTGTGCACCATTATTTATGCCCGGCTTGTTTTAATTTTTTATTTTTTGGTACTGGGAATTGAACTCAGGGCCTCGTACTTGCCACGCAGGCGCCGGACCACTGAGCTACATCCTTGGCCCTGTTTTTAAACACATGATGAAGATTGGGGATTTTTCCACATCGACTGAAGTAACAGTTTTAGGTCAACATTTTTTTTTTTGTCCTTTAACTTGTTACTGAGGTCAATTATAAGAACAGAGTTTCCAAGGCCATCCAGTGTTAATTCACCTTGGCTTTCCTGGGGTATCGTGATTCTTCAGTTATTGTTTCACTTAACATTTTGCTCAGCACCTTCACGTGTAACTGCTTTAAGTAGTTGTCAGCATGACTTTTCATCACAGAGCAAAAACTGCTTGATGATTTGCATTTTTCTCCCTTGAGCATCCCACTCATTCTAATTCTTGGCAGAGGCAAATATTATGATAAAATAACATATTAATGTACTGTATTTGCAAAGTAGCAAAACAATGCCAACCCATCCAATGATCTAATAGTTACATAGATTTAGCATATCTCTGTACTTTCCTAGTTCAGGTAAGTTACTTAAGGACTTAGAAGAGCCTTTTAAAAGCTTTAAAGTGGATCTCTTTCTTAAAGAATAAAGGGTAAGAATTTTACAGTAATTGCAAGACTGTTTTGTAGTTGTTTTTTTTTTTTCTTCCTTTTATTTCTTTGTCTTTATCAGTTTGCCAATATCTCCATTCTTTTTGACTTTTCTATTGGATACTGTATGGTTTTTTTTTTCTTCAGTGTTAGAGATTGAACCCAGGGCCTCACACATGCTAGGCAAGTGCTGTACCACTGAGCTACACCCACAAGCCCCACTCCATGTATTTTGCTGGCAGTTTATAAAGCGCATTTTTTGCATAGCTTTGAGTATTTCTCCAAGATAGCAAAGCCACAGCCTCCTATGAGCCATAAAGGTACCCAGATGTATGCCCTAGCCAGCAAGCAGCATTGAGTTGCTTAGGATTCTTATTTTTCCAGACTGTAGCAACCCAGCTTTAAGTTTTTTGGGGAGTGGGTGGGGTGATGTTGCTCAGACTGGCTTCAAACTCCTAAAAGCGATTTTCCTTCTCAGCCTCTGAAGAACTGGGGTTACAGGTGCAGACTCACTGAAGTCAGCCTTAATTTTTTTCACTTTTACCTTTTCATTTGTTTGGGATTTTATTTCAAATTAGAGTATCTTGACTGAGATTGAGATCTAGTTTTAAAAGAAAAATATTGACTTTTTACCCCCATGAGGCTGAAGTTTATATAATTGGTATCCTTTGAAACTTAATTCTTTCTATAGAAACTCATGGAGGAAGTAAGATTATAAATTATAACTCAATATTTAGGGGAGAACCAGTAAAGGTGAAATGATTGGCCTGTAACCAATATTGGTGCTGAGGACAAACTGATAAGAGCAGCCACTGGCTAAGATGGCAGAAGGACAGTTTGAGAGAAGGATGAGGCAAGTAGATCATCCTATGACCATGACTTGAGAATAGGATGCCTCTAAGGACCTACGAGAATTTAAAACTTGGTTTAAATAGTCCAGTGGACTGCGAGTATACCTAGGTGATACAGAAAAGAAACAGAATACCCTACTACCTATGATATAAGCCAGGTAACAGTGCTCACTCTGCTCTCATGTTCTCAGGTCAGAAAGTAGGCAGGCAGTCCTTAGCAGTGATCCAAGGGATCTAGAAGCCCATGGCTATGGAATGGCAGCTCCGTGATTCTCAGCCCTCCTGCCAAGGGTCCGGGATAGCTCAACATCTCAAGCACCTCGGCCCCCCATGTTGGTGGCCTAAGGCAAAGCCTTTATCCTTAGACCTCTTAGTCCATTGGGGAGAATCTTTTTCCCCCAGAAGCCTCCCCAGCTGCTGTCCCTTTATGTCTATTGGTCACATGCCTACTTCCATATCTAAGGTCGATCAGTTCTCCAACTGCCTCGAAAGGAGGACAGCCAGGGCTAAAGAAAAAAGACGATAGAGACTTGCATAATGTCGAAGTATATGTGGGGCTGGGAAGTCAGTGCCACAGGGTGGGCAAAGACCAGGACTTTCCATACTAGCCATCATTTATTGGTAAACACAGTAATT